TTTTATACCCTGCCTCCATCTTCCCAAAGAGACTCAGGGTGGCTTACATGAGGCCAAGCCTGAAGCGGGACTTTTTTCATTCCTTTGAATCCATTGCCAGATAAATATAGGATGCATAAGTGACCACTCTAGCCATCACTAGATAAAGTCCTACAGAAATCGATCACTACCTAGCAAGTGCAATAAAAGAATAACTGCTTTAACATACTGTACCATTTGCAGATTGGAGAATTGTAGACTCACTAAGGCTTTAGTATTGTGTTTTGGGTATATAATGATCCTTAAACCTATATTTTTGTTTGACTGCTGAGCCGTTTTAGAAGAAACTCTCAACTCCTGTTGGGAGGATGTTCTTTTGCTTTGGAGTTACCAAACCAATATATTGGGGAGGTTGATGGTATCCAATTCTGTAAAAATGCAGGAAATGATTGTGTTGATTCTTCAGTCCTGTCCTTCCCCAAATGGTGTGCCCTCTTAATAATCATAAACACAAGCGACATAGTATGATGAGGAACTCTGGGGTTTTGCAAATGGTCTCATGTATTGAAAAGCCACACTTTGCTGAGGCGCTTAGAGAATTGCTGTACAAAGCTGGTATTTACCAGCGGAGTCAGACCTTTTAATCCACAGATGGCTAAAGCAAATAGCAGCTGACAGCAGTGGGCAAACAGTTATTGGAATATTTCTTTCACTTTAATGTGTATTGAGTTAAACTGTCACCTCTCTTGGTCCTTTATTGAGTCTCGGGAACACTGAGGGCAAAGGCATTGGAGATTTTTTTTTTTTAGACGGTGAAGGAACACAGCTTTATCTGATTCAAGTAAAAGCTGGTATCAGATGAACTTATAAGAAAAAGGGAGTGGGAAGGAAAAAAGATGGCCCCCATGAGGCCAAACCCAGTGCTGTGATCTTTTGAAGGCAACAGGAGAGGTAGGAAGAAGTTGCAAAAGGGGAGAAAAAGAGCCAGTGTTTAGATTTGAAGTCCCATCCTTTCTTCAGATTGTTGAAAGCATCTTGCATGATCTATCAAGCAGCCCTCTTTTATCTTCAAACAACCTTTTGAGGTAGGCTAACCCACGGTACATTTGGCCCAAGACTCCCAGTAGTGAATTTAAATAGTAGTTCTCCCAGACAGAGTATTGTATAGATACTGGTGTTGGCCCAATGGTACTGGCAATGCTTGGGGATAATTCCTTCACATTGTTGTCATTTTTGCGCCACCATCTTAGTAATTTATTTATTTTGTATCAAAAGCAAAATAGAAAGAGCACAGGCGGCTAAATATCTTTTGACCAAAAATGGGCAACAGCAATGGCATTGTCTGTAGCCTCCAACAATTCTTCCCCTGTACATGAGACAGGGCATAGTGGACAAGCATACAGACACAAAGTTGTCTGTTCTGCTCCACAGTCACACAAGGTGTGGGATTCTTTTAGGTAGTGCCATTTTGCCAGGTTGTCTTTTGATCTGCCCACTCCACTTCTGAGTCTGTTCAGGGAGGTCCAAGTTTACTTAATTTATTTATTTAAAGCATTTATATTCTGCCCTTCTCACCCCAAAGGGGACTCAGGGCAGAGCACAACATATAAACGGCAAATATTCAATGTCGAAACATATTAGACCATACACACACAAAAGCATTAAAAGTTGCCCATTCTTGGTTTGTCCCTGGAGGAAGACCCTCCCTCATGGGGGGCCATCCAGTTGGGATTTCCTGGTTTAGCTGCCCAGAGGGATACCCTTGCTGTTGCTGGGGGGACGCCAAGAGGAGTAGTAGTTCTCCAAGAGCTTTTCCTTGATTTGAGTCTACTGGGAGGAGGCTGGTAGCCATGTAGTGGGTGGCTTTCACAGTGTTCAACCTTATATCTCCCACATTTAGCAGCAACTTCCTATCGCACATCGGGGGGCAATGCCAACTAGCTTGTAGAGTTTATCAACAAGTGTAGGTTTAAGATATCCTGTGATTATTCTGCATGTTTCATTCAATGCTATGTTCACCTGCTTTGCATGGGCAGACTTATGCCAAACAGGGCAGGCATACTCGGCAGTTGAGTCTTAGTAATACCAAATGGTTTTCATTTCTCAGAAAAATCAAAGCACAGGCCATTGCGAGACCCCCTGAAAAAAATGGGTATGGGATCGTAACAAGGAAGAGTTTGTGAAGATCTGCATCTTCCACTTCTTCAAAATGTCTCTTTAGTTTCCGTTGACCAGTCCTGGACCTAATTTTCCCAAGTAAGCATGGTTTACTTGGACAAAGGTGGATAAACATAGCATGCCATGTTTAGATAACCTCATGTTTCCAATGCATAATTAAATCTTTGAGTGGTTGGTTTGATGGTTGGTTTTCTTTGGCTGCAAAGATATACTTAGAGAACAGTGGAGGCCTCATTTAAAGGTAGTAAATTCACTTCTAATTGAACTCTTCTTCGGGTTTGGAAGCCATTCCCTTGCATAGCCTCCCCTGAATATTTCTCCTCCTCATTGGTCTCCTCCATTTCCATGCCATCCTTCCAGCAGCCACAAGGCAGATACTGTCCTTCATTCCAGATCCAAATGCCAAGCTGAGTTCCAAATGTTTCTTTGATTAACTGTGGTTGTCCTGGTTTGATGGAAAAGGTTGAGCGTGCCCCTCTTTATCAGTAGGTCCTGGTGTCCTGGTAGCACAGTTGTTCCCAACCTTTTTTAGACCAGGGACCACTTGACCAGGGACCACTCTCCAAAAAAAGGTTACAAATCCATTTTTGGTCAACTTTAGATTCGACTTGGTTATTTGGGGTGCTGATTCAGAAAACTGCATTGGATAGACAATATCAGCTCTAGTTTCTGATATAGAATATATGCCATCCAGTAGTCACCATCTGCTTGCCCACAGAAAACATATTTAATGAGCCTCAGCCATATAAGAGAGTTTTGCGAGACCAGTCACTCTCGTTGCAATGGTGTAGTAACAGTAGTTCTTGTGGACCACTGATGGTCCATGTACCTCAGGTTGGGAACCGCTGTACTAGCACCTGTAGATGACTTAAAATCTGGGATGAATCATGAGATGGCTGTAGGACATCCCTGAGATCACACACTTGAATTTCCAGTTTAACAACAAATATTTTGATTCTAAATCAAAGGCCTTGTCAACAGCCTTCATGTCGAGCAATAGATATGTTCAGGTTAATTTTTAATGGAGAAGGGCCATCATGATCTTTCATTCAGCTTCATGACAAATGACAAGGAAAAGCAGGAATCACACAAAAGGTCCAGTTCTCCTGGAGTAAATGGGCTAGCCAGTGATCCAAAGGGTTTTTACTGGTGGCATCTCTCATTCAGAACATCAAAATATTTGATTCTTTCTAAATCGGATGGGGATCTGTTTGAGGCTTCCGGTTGCCTAAGCCTCAGAGGTCCTTCAGACAGTGTGGAAAAGGAAGGATGTCTTCGGATGGGTTCAAGAACACTATTCAAACCTTTCCTCATCAGAGCTATTGATCCATTAGTCATACAAAGCAGATTTTAAGTCAGTCTATGATCCTGTAGATCAGTGGTCCTCAACCTGTGGGTCCCCGGGTGTTTTGGCCTACAACTGTCAGAAATCCCAGCCAGTTTACCAGCTGTTAGACTATGTCGAACTGAAAAGTGGGAGCAAAATCCAGCTTTCTGCTTCCCATTCCTTGAAACTTGAGACAACTAGCTATTGTTATGCTACAGTTTAGCGTAGGCCTGCACAACTTGTGACCCTTCAACTCCCAGAATTTTTGACCATTCGACAAGTTGGCTAGAGCAGTGATGCTCAACCTGTGGGTCCTCAGATGTTTTGGTCTTCAACTCCCAGAGATCCTAAAAGCTGGTAAACTGGCTGGGATTTCTGGGAGTTGAAGGCCCAAACAACTGGGGACCCACAGGTAGAGAACCACTGATCTACAGGTTCATAGACTGACTTAAAGTAAGAGTGCTACCTTCATTTCAACATGGGGTTGATCTGCTTAATATAACCAGTGGGTCAATAGCTCTGATAAGGAAAGGTTTGAATGATACTCCTGAACCCATCCAAAGTCAACCTTCCCTTTCCACACTCTCTAAAGCAGGGGCTCTCAAACTTTTTAAACAGAGGGCCAGGTCATAGTCTCCCAAACTGTTGGAGGGCTGGATTATAATTTGAAAAAAAACATGAATGAATTCCTATGCACACTGCACACATCGCATTTGTAGTGCAAAAAACACTTAAAAGCAATACGATAATTAAAATGAAGAACAATTTCAACAAATATAAAATTATTAGTATTTCAATGGGAAGTGTGGTCCTACTTTTGGCTGATGTGATAGGATTGTTGTTATTGTTGTGTGCTTTCAAGTCGTTTCAGACTTAGGTTGACTCTGAGCGAGGGCCAGGTAAATGACCTTGGAGGGCCGCATCCGGCCCCCGGGCCTTAGTTTGAGGACCCCTGGTCTAAAGGTCCTCCGAGGCCTAGGCGACCAGAAGCCCCAAACAGAACCCCATCCAATTAAGACAGAGTTAAATGTTTTGATGTCCTGAATGAGAGATGCCCAGCTATTATACCATTAAAAACCCTTTGGGATACTAGCTAGCTCATTTACTCCAGGAGAATTGGACTTTTTGTGTAGATAATTGCTTCACCCAAACATTGAGGTTCATAGAGTGGTGTATCAGAGTGCAATAGCCCTTAGTCACATCTGAGAGTCCAGGTGGAGCCAATCATCTCAAAAGACATTCAGTCTTAATTGTCTGGTGGATTAATAGCCCTTCCATTGTATCCTAAGTGTGGCATATGTTAATTCCCTTTGGCTGTCCCCTTTAGTGAAGCTACATCAAAGTGACCTTTTTTTTTCTTTTCCAAAACGAGAGTAGACTCCAGGTCAAAAAATTAGGAAGACCTTTCAAACAATGATGATGCAGATCTGACTCCTTGAGGTTTATATTTCTAACCATCTCTTTGTTTTTATTTTTTTAACAAAAATGTACTAATACACCTGCCCATTTCTTTCAGGTGGGTGTACATGGCATTAGAATAGAATTCATCAATGAAAAAGGATCAAAACGCACCGCCACCTACTTACCGGAGGTTGCAAAGGAGCAAGGTCATTGTTGCACTTTATCTCATATGATCTGGTGAAGAATTTAAACATACCTAGGAACTTAAAATGCAATATTTGACCTTGCACAGATGTCAGATGATGGAGCGATACTTTTAATTGTAAGGGATGACTCTTCTTTAAATGCCACTTATGTGTCCATAGATAAGTCCCTTTATTGGGAATGCTTCTGTCAATGGCAGCCATCAAACAATGTGCTGCAATAAGCTAACTTGAGTTGGTTAATGTCTCAAACGGCAATTGAAGCTGGTAGAATAACGTGATCAAAAGCTGCATTTTTGCCATATGTGGCTTAATATATGCAGTACAGAAAATGTATTAACTAACAGTGAGATAATTAAGCATGAAAATATATTTATTGCTGTACATTTCTTGTTGCCTGGCGCTCACTGTGAAAACTTAACTCTGTGTATACTTTGACTTGCTAATATTTCTGATGGGATAGAGACCAGGAAATGGACTCATGCACCCAGGTTTGGGACATAATGTTTTTAGGTGTCCTTCTAAAAACAGAATGTGTGAATTGGAGGCATTTTCTGGAAATGTATATGATAAAGGTTAGAGGATTGGGACCAAACAATGGATTGCAAACTTAGTTTCTGCTGCTCTGTGGGTAGAATGGCCTTAAGGCCACCAGCAAAATATTTTCAGATGCCGCCATCGAGGACTGAAGTGAGGTGCAGCTTGGACTGAAAATCGCTATTAGCTATCATTGTGTTTGGGCAAAGATGTGATAGCGTTCTTCCCTTTTGCATCTCTGCAGTTGACCACCCAATGTATTGGAAACACAGGGTGAGACTCAGTTCTGTTTTGAGCTGCTAGTAAGGAGATTCAGTGTTTCTGTCCCTACAGAAATCGTACACAGATCAGGGTCCCCATTCACCATTGCAGCCAAAGGCAGCCTCTCCTGTGCCAGGCTGTTATATAAAAAGTCACTCACTTGCCACTTCATCCTTTGTGGAAGCTGTCCGTCATTGATTCTAAGACCAAAAGACCTCGCTTTCACGCTTACCAGCGGTTTTCTCATTCAGCAAAATTGGTTTCCATTTTCTGTGCTGACTCTTACATTAGCTACACTTTGGTGTATCTCCGTATAAGAGATTGCAATATTTATGCATAACCCCAGGAATAACATGTTGGTTGAGTGGGCTTATTAACAAAAGACCCTCCTCAGCAGCAGCGTGACCCAATACCAGTAACCCAAAGTGATAAAAAGAACAAAAACACACAGACCAATGTTATCTTTTCCATAGGAGGCTGTTCTTTATAGTAAAATAATATGGTTGCAGTATTTACAAGAACACGGTTTCCATAACACAAATAAAGTTCTTTATACTTCTTTCTTTGCTTCCACGCTGGGCTTCTGTCTCATGCAGATAAACAGCTTTGCTCTCACAGAGCCTCTTCTCACACTGAAGTTACATAAGAGTTTCACACAGGAGCTTTTTACACACAGCAGCCTTCTTACACAATGACCTTCAACCTGGGGCTTCTCTCACCAAAGCTTCTCACACATCAGACCTACTCACACTGAGGCCTACCTCACACTGAGGTCTTTCATTGTCTGTCTGTCTGTCATTGATTTGTAAGACCAAAAGACCTTGCTTTCACACTTACCAGCGGTTTTCTCATCCAGCAAAACTGGTTTCCATTTTCTGTGCTGACTCTTACATTAGCTACACTTCGGTGTATCTCCGTATAAGAGATTGCAATATTTATGCATAACCCCAGGAATAACGTGTTGGACGAGTGGGCTTATTAACAAAAGACCCTCTTCATAAATGCATAGCAGAGTAACTTAATAGCATCAGCAGTGTGACCCAATACCAGTAGCCCAAAGTGATAAAAAGAACAAAAACACACAGACCAATGTTATCTCTTCCAAAATAATTTGGTTGCACTATTTACAAGAACAAAGTTTCCATAACACAAACAAAGTTCTCTATACTTCCTTCTTTGCTTCCACACTGGGCTTCTTTCTCATTCAGATAAACAGCTTTGCTCTCACAGAGCCTCTTCTCACACTGAAGTTACACAGGAGCTTTTTACACACAACAGTCTTCACACACAATAGGCTTCAACCTGGGGCTTCTCTCACCAAAGCTCCTCACACACCAGACCTACTCACACTGAGGCCTACCTCACACTGAGGTCTTTCTCCCACTGAGGTCTCTCACAGACTGAGGCAAATTAACACTGAGGCCTTTTTCTCATTGAGGCCTCTCTCAGACTGAGGGAACTACAGCTTTTGCTGAGTCATTGCATCTATTTAACCCTTTCAGTGCTTGACTTATATTTTTGTAATTAAAAATGCCTAGTTAATTTTTAATATTTCTGACATAACCCTCAAGTCATTTTGAGAATAGAGCAGTTGAAACACATTCTCTATATTAAGAAGCTTTTGGATAATGATTTAAACTTGTGCTCTTATACCTCAACATTGTACAAGGAACAGTGGAGGCTTCTTACAAAGGTTGGGTTTGGTGGATTTGCATATTAATCCCATGTGAAAAACAATACTCAACTGAAACAAATGTGCTAGTGAGTGCAGGGTTGTCATCTACAAGCACAATTGAACTGGGCGGTGATTAAGCAGCAGTTGTATTTGCCTGGATTGCATTTTTCTTTGTTAAATAACAGCTATTCTTTATGCCTTGCTATGACAAAATGTATGTTTCATTTTTGCTGTTCATCATTTTTGGAGTGATATGACATGGGTTCTTCGGGAAACAACTTCCTTTTTCGAACAATCCTTTGAACTCTTGGGCTGGCATCCTATTAGTGGCATGTGCAAGTGTAAGCAATCCTTACACCTCCTTTTTGTTTTTGTCCAGTTTTTCCCCCTATTTTGGTGACAATTTGCCAATAAGACATGTGACATTACACCACGAGAATGATTATATGCCTATGTATTCAAAGAAATTAAGGTTTAATGTGTATGTGATTGATATCTGTCTGTTATCGAAGGTTTTCATGACCAGAATCACTGGATTGCTGTGAGTTTTCCGGGCTGTATGGCCACGTACCAGAAGCATTCTCTCCTGATGTTTCAGCCACATCTAGGATTCATTTCTCCTGATGTTTCAGCAGACACTATCAAAGGTTGAGGGGTCTGTTAGAAACCAGGCAAGTGAGGCTTATATATCTTTGGAATGTCCAGGGTGGGAAAAAGGACTCTTGTCTGCTTGAGGCAGGTGTGAATGTTGCAATTGGCTACCTTGATTAGCAATTAATGGCCTTGCAGCTTCAAAGCCTGGCTGATTGCTGCCTGGGAGAATCGTTTGTTTGGAGGTCACAGCATATTATTTGACAACACAGAAATGCTGGACCAATCTAACAAGCATCATGTCAGATTACACCAGTGGATCTCAACCAGTGGATCCCCAGGTGTTTTGGCCTACAACTCCCAGAAATCCCCACCAGTTTACCAGCTGTTAGGATTTGTGGGAATTGAAGGCCAAAACATCTGGGGACCCCACAGGTTGAGAAGCAATGGACTACACAGAGAAGCCATGGAAATCCACAAGCATGTGGAAAGTTTCAACAGAAAGGAAGAAACCATGAAAATGAACAAAATCTGGCTACCAGTATTTTAAAAACTCTAAAATCAGGACAGTGAATAATGAGCAACACTATAAATTTTTTCAAAAACAGAGGAATTCAAGACAAGAGGTTGTGAATGTTGCAATTGCTAACACCTCCCAACAAAGGATTGCCCAGGCAGCAACCAACCAGACTTTATTTATTTGTTTATTTATTTACCATATTTGTATACCACCTTTCTCAGCTCGGAGGCAACTCAAAGCGGTTCACATTCGGCAATAATTCAAACAATTAAAACAGTAATAAATACTATTAAAACATTTAGTATATAGTATAACAGTACAAAGCAAAAAAATATATATTATAAGCCTCTCCTTACCAAAGTCATTATCCAATTGCATTGTCAAGTTGTTCAATGGTTTCATATTTACCAGATTATGCTGCATTAGCGAAAGCTTGCTCAAAAAGCCAGATTTTAACCTTTCTGCAGAAAGAAGGGAGGGGGCCACTCTTATATCCCTAGGCAGGGTGTTCCACTTTGAAGCTGCAAGGCCATTAAATGCTAATCAAGCTGTCCAGTTGCAAAGTTCACACTTGCATCAAGCAGACAAGAGTTCTTTCTCCCATCCTGGACATTATTCCACAGATATATAAACCTCACTTGCCTAGTTTCCAACAGACCCCTCAACCTCTGAGTGCTAATAATATTGTATATATATATATAATATTGATAGTAATATAATAGTAATACAATATAATAATTGTATATTATATATTACATTATATATTGCACCGGGACTGTGGCGCAGCTGGCTGAGTGTCAGCTGCATTAAGATCACTTCTGACCAAAAGGTCATGAGTTCAAAGCCAGCCCGGGTAGGAGTGAGCTTCTGACCAATTATGTAGCTTCTTGTCGACCTTTGCAACCCGAAAGACAGTTGCATCTGTCAAGTAGGAAATTAGGTACCACCTATGTGTGGAGAGGCTAATTTAACTAATTTACAAGGCCATAAAAAAGACTCCAGCAAAGCATGCAGGGAATGCGGAAGTACTTCATCAGTGTTGCAGATGGACGATCAAAGCGACAGCTCCCCTGGCGGCCAGAAAAGTTAAATAGCCTCTGACTGCCTGTCTATATGTGTTGTGTGTCTTTGGCATTGAATGCTTGCCATATATGTGTAGATTGTAAGCCGCCCTGCGTCCACTGTGGGGCGAGAAGGGCGGAATATAAATACTGTAAAATAAAATAAAAATAGATGTGGGCAAAATGTCAGGAGAGAATGCTTCTGAAACATTGTCATACAGCCTGGAAAACTCATAGCAACCCAGTGATTGGTATCTAAGAATGAGAAAGCAGGTTCACAGGAAATCTTATGAGACCAGTGGCCTTTCAGATGAGATTGGACTCCTGCTTCCAGCATTTCCCAGTACTGGCTTTGCCTGCTGGGGCTGATGGAAGTTCTCCTCCAACAGCACCTGGAAGGCCACATTTCCAACTCATGCTATAAGAGAAAAGGTGTGTGCCTTTCCCCCTTGGTTGGGGAATAGCCCATGACACACATCAATAATGGCTTGTAATGCAGTTTCTGATGCCTGTTTCCTAATATATGTTTTGTGATGAATCTCAACAGGATGGGACCACATTCAGACCATAGATTCCTTATTGAGGAAAGGAGGCTACAAAGTTCCGATTACAAACGATTTCAGGAAAACAATAAAACTGACCAGGTATGAGGTTACTTTGATATATGCTCTTGAACTGGGATCTGCTTACTTGAAACTAGTCATCATAAACTGTTTTCTAAAGCAAGTCCTCTAATAATTTTTAAAGTTGATTTTGAGAAAAGTGTTTGCAGCAGGTGATGGGTCTCTAAATGTCAGGCATTTTGAACAAAACGGATGGTCTGAACCCATTCTGAGGCGGTTTTAGCTTTTACGTTGAGGAATAACAGGCTATTATTGTGTAATGCTTCTCAAAAGGGGTGGCCTTTGCACTGGTCCAGGTCCACAAGCCATCATCTGCCAGAGTTTCTAGGAAAGCACGTAGGGTAATGTAAATCTATCCTTGTGTGGAATTGTGGTGTAGCATGGCCTCTACCTTCCATTGGAATGTGTCTGGACCAAACTTGGCACAAAAACTCAATATGCCCAAATGTGAACACTGGTGGAGTTTGGGGAAAATAGACCTTGACATTTGGGAGTTGTAGTTGCTGAGATTTATAGTTCACCTACAATCAAAGAGGATTCTGAAGCCAACCAATGATAGAATTGGGCCAAATTTCCCACACAGAAACCCCCACGACCAACAGAAAATACTGGAAGGATTTGGGATGAATTGACAGTGATTTGGGGGAGATGTAGTTCACCTACATCCAGAGAGCAATGTGAACCCAAACTAATATGCCAAAGGGATTCCTAAGATCATCACAAATATGTGTTTTCTGATGGTCTTTGGTGACCCCTCTGAAACTCCCTTGCGATCCCCCCAGGGGTCTCAATCCTCAGATTGAGAAACACTGTCATAGAGGATGGAGTGATAGCACCCCCCTGTGGCCAGAATCAAGCATAACCTCCAGGACACTGAAGTTGGGAAAAATGCCAACTATATATATACCTCTATCTGTTGTCCGTCCTGTCTGTTTAGCGGCATTGAATGTTTGCCGTGTATGTGTTCTGTGATCTGCCCTGAGTCCCCTTCAGGGTGAGAAGAGTAGAATATAAATGCTGCCAATGAATAAATGTGGTTTTAGGGATTCTATTTTTTAAAGCCCCCCATTTATTTTGCCCTCTCCCATCCAGGTATCGTAGCGAGAAGATGACCCTGAGCTACACGGAGTACCTTGCCCACCGCCAGCACCACCACTTCCAGAACGGCATCGGGCACAGCCTCCCGCCGTACAACCATTATTCCTGACATTGAGCCGCATGACCAGTCGTCCCTGGACCTCTCCGCCGACCTCTTCCCAGGAGACCCGACCCCCTCCTGGTCTAGCTATCTCTATTACTGTACCATTTTATGATGATAGTTTCCGTTGCCATGATGACGCTTCTCCGCAGCAGGTTAAGTTCACCATGGCAACGGGTAGAAACGCTGCATCATTCACCCTTCATCCTTTCTTTAAAGAAAAATTAGTATTAAGTCACTGTGGGCTTTTTGGGGTTTTTTTGACAGCATATACAAACTCGGGACTTTTTTATATATATATAAAATTTTAAATTTCTACTTCACGAACATTGACATTATATCAATCAAGGATTTTTTTCCTGTGGATAGAGGGAAAGAATTTAACACTTAAGAGTTTGGACTAGAGAGAAAGGGGAAAGCAAAGTCAGCTGCTCATGGAATCATAAGACATATCGGTTTGGAAGAGTAGAAGGTGTCGTGCGGTTCCTTAAGATTCCCCACGAGTTAAGATTTTTCCTTCTTTCATGTAGGTATACATGAAGCTCAGACTCCCACCCTGGTCAGCCCAGGAGGGACGATGATGGTGGTGGTGGTAGTAGTGATAATAATGATGATAATGATAATGACGTAAATTACCTGATTAGGAAAAAGAAAAAAGGCTATGATTTTTTTGGCACAAGTGATCCCGTAAATGGGTTGTTGTGAGTTTTTTGGGCTGTATGGCTGTGTTCCAGAAGCATTCTCTCCTGACGTTTTGCCTACATCTATAGCAGGCATCCTCATAGGTTGTGAGGTCCTGCCATAGGGGCAGGCGAAACGTCAAGAGAGAATGCTTCTGGAACATGGCCATACAGCCCAAAAAACTCAGAACAACCTATTGATTCCAGCCATGAAAGCCTTTGATGATCCTGTAAGTCAGTGGTTCTGAATCTTGGGTCCCCAGATGTTTTTGGCCTACAATTCCCAGAAATCCCAGCCAGTTTACCAGCTGTTAGGATTTCTGGGAGTTGAAGGTCAAAAACACCTGGGGACCCCAGGTTGAGAACCACTGCTGTAAGTCATAGGACAAATGTCACGGCGTGCCAGGGATAGGGTCCTGGTTCCATTGACTTCGCAAAATATTTATAACACGAATCACTGGAACTAAAATCTCATCCCAAGTGGCTTAGTCTTGGAGAGGGAGCGGTCCACTTTCCCGCCCATCCGTGGCACTTGAAAGAAGATGGTTCCTCCCTTTCCTGGTCAATGCCTTGTGCAGTTCTTCTCTTTGGCAGAGGCGAGTGACCAATGGGCGCACCGTCGCGGTTTCACGCCTAGCGCTGATGCTGTTCTGCGGCTTCTGAGATAGGGGTTGCTTCCTTTTCCGAAACGGTTTGGCACGGCACAACAAGTATGTTAAGAAGTCAATGGATCTAGGTATTAGTGCCTTCAACCAGGATGCAGGTTTTACCAAAAGCAGTGAAGTAGAACTATGACGAAAGACTATGTCGAACTGAGAAGTGGGAGCAAAATCCAGCTTTCTGCTCCCTGTTCCTTGAAATTTGAGGCAGCTAGCCTTTGTTATGTTACAGTTCAGCGCAGGCCTGCACAACTTGTGACCCTTCAGGTGTTTTGGACATCCCAGAATTCTTGACCATTGGACAAGTTGGCTAGAGCAGTGATACTCAACCTGTGGGTCCTCAGATGTTTTGGACTTCAACTCCCAGAAATCCAATCCACTGATCTACAGGATCATAGAATGACTTAAAAAAGAGGTTGATCTGCTTGGCCTGACTGGTGGGCCAATAACTATGATAAGGAAAGGTTTGAATGGTGTCCTTGACCCCATCCCAAGACATCCTTCCCTTTCCATATTGTCTGAAGGACCTCCAAAGCTTGAGAACCACAGATTGAGAACCACTGGGGTAGAACTTCTGGGAGTTGGAATCCCAAACATCGAGAGTAGTGGTGTTCAACCTGTGGGTCCCCAAATGTTTTGGCCTTCAACTCCCAAAAATCCTAACAGCTGGTAAACTGGCTGGGATTTCTGGGAGTTGAAGGCCAAAACAACTGGGGACCCACAGGTTGAGAACCGCTGATCTACAGGATCATAGACTGGATTAAAATAAGAGTGCTAGCTTCATTTCAACATGTGTTTGATCTGCTTGGCCTGACCAGTGGGTCAATAACTATGATGAGGAAAGGTTTGAATGGTTTCCTTGACCCCATCCCAAGACATCCTTCCCTTTCCATATTGTCTGAAGGACCTCTGAAGCTTGAGAACCACAGGTTGAGAACCACTGGGGTAGAACTTCTGAGAGTTGGAATCCCAAACATCTAGAGCAGTGGTGTTCAACCTGTGGATCCCCAGATGCTTTGGCCTTCAACTCCCAGAAATCCTAACAGCTGGTAAACCGGCTGGGATTTCTGGGGGTTGAAGGCCAAAACAACTGGGGACCCACAGGTTGAGAACCACTGATCTACAAGATCATAGAGTGCTAGCTTCATTTCAACATGGGGTTGATCTGCTTGGCCTGACCAGTTGGTCAATAACTATGATGAGGAAAGGTTTGAATGGTGTCCTTGAACCCATCCCAAGACATCCTTCCCTTTCCATATTGTCTGAAGAACCTCCGAAGCTTGAGAACTTCTGTGAGTTGGAATCCCAAACATCTAGAGGGTCACGTGTTGCACAGGCCTGGCTTAGCCCAACAATTAGTTGGTAGAAACAGAGCTAAGGGGTCGTGCGTTTGGATATCAAGTGTCCAGACAGTACTGCGACCAAGAGGTCAGCACCGTGATGCTGGCTAGTGTCTTTCCCAGCATGGAAGAGGCCAAGGGAGCTATAGATTGCCCCTCCAAGTAATGAGGATGGGATAGGAAGATGCTAGTGTTGCTGAAAGGCCTCTGTTGGAGCCATTGCCTTGTTCGGTGCACTTGCAAATGTCTCACAAACTTCTATTATAGCAAAGTGCATTTCCAAGAGGGTAGGAAGCATACAAGAGCTCTCTCATTTGAGCGTCTTTGGTTGCAACTAGTAGAAAGCATAACCTTTGAGAGATAATTCTTGAGTAACTGGGGAAGCAAGTGGAGCTGGTTCTCACAGGGGCCACTGTCATTCCTTCATCCACAGTGTTTCAACGTCCAAATATTAACTTTTTTTCTGTTTCAATGCCTTAATTTTTGAAGTGAATGGAAGGCCTGAGAAACGCAAAGTAGCCAAACAAAGACGGGTGGATAAAAGAACTGTGGCCATGACTTCTTGTCGAAGTTATTCAGTATGGTTCTCTCTCTTTTTTTCTGTCCAATTTGGCATTTTGAGAAGCGGTTTCACTTTGAAACAAAAGCTGTATCATCCAGTGGCTATCTGATTGCAACTTTTTTTGTTTTTTTGCCCTCGAAAGGGAAACTTGAGCACAAGCTGGAAAAAAAAAAAACAACCATTGTCTGCTGCAAAACATTTGAGAAATCAGCCATGGCCACCTGGTCCCATCGTTCTCCATTATCTCATGAATGGCTCATGCTTGCGGGTGAGCTCCTCATTAGACTTTTTTTAAAGAAAGATCTATTATATATATAAATATATGTGTATTTAAAGGTGCTAATCAACCTTGAGCAGGTCACGTGACTGGTCATGCGGACTCTTAAAAATCATATCAGATTTTTTTTTAGAAAAAAAATCCTCAATATATGCAGATGTTATACAGAATTTCTTACAAGTGTAATAATGATGATATACTGATTTAAATAAAAAAAATAATATCCTGCAGGGTTTGAAGGACAAGGTCAGCAATACTTCCCACCGTGGCTTGGGAGAGGAACCTTTTTAAAATGACAATATTTTTGTTTCCTTTTATATATGTGTGTGTAACACAACATAATGCACAATTCGTTTCTGTCTATCTCTCGCTGAATTGCTTGGGGAATTTCCCAAACGAAAGTTCAGAGGGGTCAATGCAAACTGGAAAGGTGTGCTTTAAAAAAAAACCCAAACCTTCAGACCCTTCTGAAACCGGTTTTGCGAAGAAAACATTGTTAAGACATCAGATTTGGACAGAAACTTCAGCGACGTTCTGTTTGTACACCTAGATCAAACTTGAGTTTCTCTGTGAGTCTTTTCATTTAGTGCTGCCGCCTCCTTCCTTTATGGTGACGAAAAGGCCGATGGCACTTTGGGACATGACGTTCTTGGCATGTAGACGCAAATTTTGTGTGTGCAAAAGCACTGTGTGCCACGCAAGAACAAGAACGCTCAGTCTGTTCTCCTTCAAATTGCCCAGAAGGGAGGACAAAGCTTGAAATATGTCTCCTGGTTTGGTTTTGCGCAAATTTAACACTGTGGGAGATTATCACAGGCTGCGATGATTCTACTTTACTGCTATGGCTGTCTCCTGTGGCATTCTGGGATTTGTAATTTTAAAATCCTCACCCAGAAAGATTCTGAGCCTCCCTAAACTGCAAATCCCAGGATTCCACAGGAAGCAGCCATAGCGGCAGTTAAAGTGAAATAACAGCAGTGTGTGATAACCTTGTCTAGTGTTAAATTTGTACAGAACAAAGCTAAAAATGTATTACTGTCTTAGGATTTTTATAAGTCCTTCTGTAAACTACAAATCCCTGGTTTCTAAAAGAAGTAGACATAACACTGAAGGAGATTATCACACGCTACGGTGATTCCGCTTTAACTGCTGTTATGGCCGCCTCCTGTGGCATCCTGGGATTTGTAGTTTAAGGATGGCTTTTTAAAAATCTTCACCCAGAAAGATTCTGAGCCTCCCTAAACTGCAAATTCCAGGATTCCACAAGAGGCAGTTAAAGCAGAATAACAACAGTGTGTGATAACCTCCTCTATTGTATTGTCGAAGGCTTTCATAGCCGGAATCACTGGGTTGTTGTAGGGTTTTTTCGGGCTCTATGGCCATGTTCTAGAGGCATTCTCTCCTGACGTTTCACCTGCATCTATGGCAAGCATCCTCAGAGGTGGTGAGGAACGTCAGAAGAGAATGCCTCCAGAACATGGCCATGTAGCCTGAAAAAACCTACAACAACCCAACCTCCTCCAATGTTAAATTTGTACAAAGCAAAACTAGGAAATGTATGACTGTTTTAGGATTCTAAATTGGAGGAGGCTATTACACACTGCTGTTATTCCGCTTTTTACACCAGCTTCTTGTGGAAACTAGGGATTTGTAGTTTACAGAGGAGACTTTTTAGAATCCTAAAACAGTAATACATTTCCTAGTTTTACTTTGTACAAATTTAACATTGGACGAGGTTATCAAACACTGTTGTTATTCT